AAGAGGACCTGGCTGATGGAGAGTATGATGAGGCTGAAGTGTTATGGGTGCAACTGCATATGGATGTGAGTAGTTCAAAGTTAATCGTTGGAGTTTGTTACAGGCCATCGAGTGTTAATGAGATGGCAGGGACTCAGTTCCTTACACAGATGGAAAGGACTGCAAGGGCTGAGACCGTGATAATAATGGGGGGTTTTTAACTACACTGATATTATTTGGAGTATTGGCACTGCTGAAACAATTTATAAACCTATTAGAAGACATTTTTATGGTACAGTATAGAGGTTCCGACTAGAAATGATGTTCTACTGGGCCTGGTAATCTCAAACCATGCAGAGCTTATTACTAATGTTTAAATAAAAAATGATTTCATTTAATGTTAGCTGTAAACAACAAACACATACTGGAATGGTAAAAACACAACTTCAAGAGAGCAAATTTTCCAAGGATGAGTGCTGCTCTCCAAGACTTCGATTGGGAGGGAATATTGGCATCGAAGAACACAGAACAGAAATGGCCATTTTTAAAAAAAGACTGTATGTGAACACACTAAAAAATATATTCACATGGGCAATAAGTATAATAGGATAAAAACAACACCTACAGTATGTGGCTGACGTCCAAAGTTGAAAAAGCTATAAATAACAAGAAAAGTGCTTTTTAAAAAATATAAAAATGAAGGAACATTATCATTTAAATGTTACAAAGAATATAACAGAATATGTAAAAAGGAAATCAAGGACGCAAAAAATCAAAACAAACAGATTGCAAAAGAAAGTAGAACAAACCTTGAAACATTTTTTAAATATATTAATACCGTATTTGCCGGCGTATAAGACGACTTTTCAACCCGTGAAAATCTTTTGAAAAGTCGGGGGTCGTCTTATACGCCGGTATACGGCGAGCCGGTGTCAGGGCGGAACTTTTTCGAGGGGCGGCGCCGCCCCCCTCCTCCTCCAACGGACACCAAGTACAGGGGTGGGCAGAGGGGCTGCTGTACCTTACCTGGCTCCGGTCCCGGTCCCACGACGATCCGGTCCAGGAAGTGCGGCTGCTCCTTCTTTCAGTTCGGCTGCTCGATGGTCCCGCCGCCCGCTCGGCTCCGCCTCCTCACCGGTGATTGGGCGCCAGCACTGGAAAGGCACACAGGCGACCAATCACTGGTGAGGAGGCGGAGCCGAACGGCCCCGCGAAAATCAAGCGGCCGAACTGAAAGAAGGAGCAGCCGCTCCTCTCCCCCACTGACACTAACGATGGGGCACTATTCCTCCTCCACACTGACACCAACGGATGAGGTACTGTTCCTCCCCCACTGACACCAACGATGGGGCACTATTCCTCCTCCCCACTGACACCAACGATGGGGCACTATTCCTCCCCCACTGACACCAACGATGGGGCACTATTCCTCCCCCACTGACACCAATGATTGGGGAACTTTTCTCCCCACTGATACCAATGATGGGGCACTATTCCTCCCCCACTGACACCAATGATGGGGCACTATTCCTCCCCCACTGACACCAATGATGGGCACTATTCCTCCTCCCCACTGACACCAACGATGGGGCACTATTCCTCCTCCCCACTGACACCAACGATGGGGCACTATTCTTCCTCCCCACTGACACCAACGATGGGGCACTAGTCTTCCTCCCCACTGACACCAATGATGGGGCACTATTACTCCTCCCCACTGACACCAATGATGGGGCACTATTCCTCCTCCCCACTGACACCAATGATGGGGCGCGTTGGAAGAGGGGTAGTCTTATACGGCGAGTATAGCTCAAACCCTATATTTTAACATGAAAAGTAGGGGGTCGTCTTATACGCCCAGTCGTCTTATACGCTGGCAAATACGGTAGTAAAAAAGGTCAGATCTGTGCATGTAGGCCCTTTAAAAAATAATCTAGAGTGGGTGACTGGGGACAAAGAGAAGGCAAATGTATGAAATACCTTCTTCAGCTCTGTGTATACGAAGGCGCATGGGGGAGGTCATGTCCATAATGGGCATGGTATTGACACAGCCCCAAATGATCCACAATGGCTCAAAAATTATATGGTCCAGAAATGTTTAGATTGAATAAAGCACCTAGATCAGATGGCATGCACCCACAGATCTTAAAATAATTGAGCTCTGTCATTTCAAAGCCATTGCTTCTAATATTTAGAGACTCTTTAAAGACTGTACCAATGGATTGGCGTAAGGCCAATGTGGTACCTATATTTACAAAGGGATCAAAGTCTTTGCCAAGTGTAAAACTACCCTCTCAGGGGCCGCTGAGTAATTTTTGGGTTCCCTGTCTTTCTTTACCTCACCCTTGCTGACACCACCTTAAACCTATGGCCAGAAGAACCCTCTGGTTACAACCATTAAATAGACTTATGCACAGTCTAGAGTGAACTGATATTTTGGTTGTATTTAGCTCAAAAGTAAGCACAGTAAGGCAAAAAAGAAATATGTGCATCAAATAACTGGTATCACTCTTAATAACTTCAAATAAAGGTCACAACACATTGCAATCTCAATTAGTTCTAGATATCCTGCAATTCAGAATTTAAACAGTAGTCCCAATCATGAGATATTTCCTCCCCAGTGAGCGAAGAAAAAACTACAAGGGTGGGCGTGGCTTGGAGCTAGAGCTGCATGGCTGCACACTGAGTGAGCTCCATGGAGAAGTCTGCTTTTGAGCCATTTAAGTTGTACACAGCAGGACGATCATGGGCAGGATTATTAAGCCCACTTTACACAATCGCTCGCACTTCGGGTCTTCAGCATGACAGATCCAGGATCTTTTCCAGAATAGAGGCACACAGAGGAGTTGCCCTGCTAGGAACAAGATGGCTCCTATGCAACATGAGGAGGTGCACAGTGAGGAGGGACAAGGTGATCTCTAGGTGATCTCTAGGCTGAAGAAAGTTTCTGAAACACATGCCATACACCTGATTAATGTGAATTGCCACCTAGATGATTTAGATAAGAGAGGAAGATGGCATAACATCAGAATCAGAGGTGTCCCTGAATCTGTCTGCTGAACAGCTCGTGTCAGCTTTACAATCCATCTTCAATAATCTTTTAGAGCGGCCTGCAGACACTGTCATTGATTGTGAGAGAGCTCACAGAGCCCTTAGCCCAAGGGGGATGGAGGGCTCCCCTCCCAGGGACATTATTTGCTGTCTTGCCAATTTTGCATTGAAAGAAGAAATCCTTAAAAAGCCTGGCACAATAAGCTCATTACTTTTAATGGTGATGAACTTACCCTCTTCCAGGATCAGGATTTATCCCCATTATGCTGAAAAATAGAAAAACATTGCGCCCCCTACTGGCTGTTATGCAGGAGAAGGGGATTCCTTTTGCTCTGCAAGCAACTCTGAATGGCAAGCATTATCTGTTTAGACTGCCTGCAGACCTTAGGGGTTTCTGTAAAGACCAGGGGCGGACTGACCATTTGGAAACTCGGGCACTGCCCGAGGGCCCGGGGTCAGTAGGGGGCCCCATGAGATGCTCCTGGTACCTTTTTCATAGGCTTTTTTGAGCTTGGGCAAGGACACAGGGGCCCCATGATCCCCTATTGCCCGGGGGCTCCATGAGTTGTCAGTCCACCCCTGATGATTACCTCGAACTTCCGCAAGTGGATCTTCCTGAATGGTTTGAGGAATTTCGACTTCCATCAGCAGCTTCTGCCACTCCACACAAGCCTCTGCAAACCCCTTCTCCTTCTTCATATATCTGAGTGTTCCCTGAAACAGTAGAAGAAATCATTGGTGCGGCACCTTTTGAATGTGGCTAAATCCTTAATTCCCAGGCACTGGAAGACTGCTCGTACCCCCTCGATCCAAGACTGGATAAGAGAGGTTAATGTAATTCAGGAATTGGAATGCACACTGGCTATGACTGATGACATGGTAACCAGATTCCACAAATTGTGGTCCTGTTGGTATGCTTTCACTTTTTCAGAAAAGCATAAGGGGCTGATGGGCGAATAGCTTTCTCTCCTGGAGGTGTGCGTCATGCCCGTGAATTCTTGACACCTTTCACAGGGATGGTCCTGCCCTTACTATTGTTGTTCTCATGCTTTCTCTACTAGCTTTTCATTTTCTTCTGTTCATACACTTCTTTATATCTGCTTTGACATTTATACCTACAAATTGTAATCATTTTAATACATGACTGCTTTCTGCAGAATAATGTTGTGATTATGCCACTGAGTTTGCTCCGAAACTAATTTGTATAATTGTTTACTACATGAGACGATATTATGTCATGCCACATTGCAGTTAATTTCTGTTCATATGTTCTGCTTTTTGTCTGAATAAAAGCCAATTGTTTAAAAAACAAGAAAAAACTACAAAACAGAGAGGCTAGCTCACTTTGGACTCTCAGGGGCTGGGGCTAATGACTGGGTTTAATTCTGAGAAAGAAGAGCTCTTCGCTTAAATAGGCCAATGCCCTTTTTAACCACTTGCCCTACAGAGAATTTACCCCCCTACCTGACCAGGCCATTTTTTTGGCGTTACGGCTCTGCATTACTTTAACTGGAAATTGCGCGGTCATGCAATGCTGCACCCAAATTAAATTTATGTCCTTTTTCCCCACTAATAGAATAAATTAAATAAATACATTTTTGGTGGTGTTTGATCACCTGTGCGTTTTTTTTTTATACATTTTTTTTACTTTTTTTCTATTAAACATGTCCAGTACAAAAATGTTTAAAATAAAATTTTGTTAAAGTTTGGCCAAAATGTATTCTGCTACATGTCTGATAAAAAAAAAAATCCAAATACGCGTAAATTAAATGGTTTACATGAAAGTTATAGCGTTTACAAATGACGGTATATATACTAGGATTTTTAATTTTTTTTCCTAGTAATGGTGGTGATCAGCGACTTATAGTGGGACTGTGGCGGGCATTCTGACACTGGGTGGAACTGACTTGGTGTCACTGACCTCTCCAATGACACCAATACAGTGGTCAGTGCTAATAAAAAGCACTGACACTGTACTAATGCCACTGGGCAGGAAGGGGTTAACATTTGGGGTGATCAAAGGATTAACTGTGTACTGTTTTACTGTGGGCTGTGTTAGTGCTTTCAACTGTAAGCACACTGCTTTGCATTACTTTGCAGAGCCATGCAAAGCAATGTGCAGGAGCTGACAGGGGAGAGAACTGTATTGTTTACATACAGTTCTCTCCCTTCGTCAGTAATACAATCACCGGGTGCCGGCAAGTAATCACCAGCCAGGACCCGGTGATTGACAACCAAGACAGCCTACCCAGAAATGCAAAGTCACACAGATAGATAGATAGATAGATAGATAGATAGATAGATAGATAGATACACAGGTGAAACTTGAAAAATTTGAATATCGTGCAAAAGTTCATTTATTTCAGTAATGCAACTTAAAAGGTGAAACTAATATATGAGATAGACTCATTACATGCAAAGCAAGATAGTTCAAGCCGTTATTTGTCATAATTGTGATGATTATGGCTTACAGCTCATGAAAACCCCAAATCCACAATCTCAGAAAATTAGAATATTACATGCAATCAATAAAACAAGGATTGTACATAGAACAATATCGGATCTCTGAAAAGTATAAGCATGCATATGTACTCAGTACTTGGTTTGGGCCACTTTTGCAGCAATTACTGCCTCAATGTGGTGTGGCATGGAAGCTATCAACCTGTGGCACTGCTGAGGTGTTATGGAAGACCAGGATGCTTCAATAGTGGCCTTCAGCTCTTCTATATGGCAGCAAGAAAGCGGTTAAACTGCAGTATCTGATCTTCTGCACCCTCGATGGGGCCCTACTTGGTGCACATAAGGATTTAAATCTTCCTTAAAGCAAAGGTAGAAATTCTTTCTTAGAGGGTGAAAAGGAGCTGCCCCTTTTAGGTGGTATTTAAATTTAGACAGTACCCCTTTAACTCCCACAAGGTGAGATGTAGGATTAGCAAAGATCAATGAACGGGCAAAACACTCTTCTGTAGGGATTAGTTCCTCTTTAGGCCACAGTGACAAACTGCAGCAATGAAGGGGCTCCTTGGCGAATAAGGCCTGCTGTGTTGAAAGCACTGATACAGCTTGACCTACAGAAGGCAAATGCTGTGGCTGGCTCTTGTGACTGGATATGCTGAGAGTGCAAGAATTAGTAGGTTAGGAGAACTGGGCCTCAACACATGTAACTTGGAAAACAAGGTCAGTCAAATTGGGTGGGAAGTAGCTGAATTGAGTAGTGTTACTTGCAACTTTCTCACCTGATCCATGGCCTTGGTCAGATAGCAGACAGTCTCTCTGAAGACGTGGGCCCCCCAGTTCCTTGTGGTCCCTCTTTCAGAGATCACTCCGGACCGGGAACTCTGGTACACCTGCTCAAAGGGCTGTCTGCCAGACTTGTCAATGGCTGTCAGTGATGTCAGCAGTCAGCAATTTCTCCTCTCTCCTCGACTTTCTGCAGTCTGACCCAACTTGGACCTCCAGTGTCCCACACGGTGTTCCCTTACACCTGCTCTTCAGCTCTCTCCATCCACTTCCCATCCTTGGGTTCCTGGGTTTTTGCATTTATTTACCTCAGCCCATCTGCCAACTCCTCAGGGAAATGTAGTTTGTTAGCTGGCTCTCAAATAAGAAAGTCCTGCAATCAGCCTATTAATCCTACAAAGCTTTTCAACTGTCTGAATAACTGGGCGGCAGGACACTGCCATCTTGTGTCCATTTAATATCCTGCAAGCAGTATTACGGCAGAGTGTTACACAAGTAACTACAGACCTGTTGGTTTAACTTCTATAGTACTGAGAAAAATACTGGACAGTTTAATAAAAGGCCACACAGATAAGTTCTTTCTAGAAAAAAATATTTGAAGTAACAGACTGCATGGATTCATGAAATACATGTTCCTACAATGCAATGCTTGCTTTGAAATTACATGAATGGGTTGAGTTCATGATAGTTCAAAATACTGTAATCTGTGATTGGCTCCAGCTGGTCACATGGTACAGGGTGATGTGATTGGCTCATGTACCATGTGCAAGCTGTTCCCAATCACAGCTCACCAAGTAGAGAAGCAGAGCTGTTATGAATCAGATTGATTTGCTAACATTGTGATCAAGTGATTGCATAGCGATCACATGACCACTGGGTCCTGTTCACCGGGATCTGCATTTCCCTGTTTTTGGTGGAAACAGCAATCGCAGGGGGTGCAGTTCCCCCCTTGTGTTGGTACAGCCAGAGCTACATATGGTTACGTTACTTTCACTGTAGCTGCCGCCCATCCGCAGTACATTGCGGGTAGGTGGGTAGGAAGTGATTGCCTTCTGTAGTTGGGAAGATACTAGAGAAGTTAATAAAAAATCACATAGAGGAGTTTTTGCTAGAAAAAACATTTTAGCAATTGCCAGCATGGATTCATGAAAGACAGAATCTGATTTTCTTTTTATGAGGAGTTAAGCAAAACCTTAGACAAAGGAGTGGCTGTGGCTATAGTATACTTGGATTTTTCAAAAGCATTTCACACAATTCTCCATACATGGATAATTTGTAAGGTAAAGTCTACGGGCTTGGAAAAATCAGTTTGTAAATGGATAGAAAACTGGCTAAAAGATCATATTCAGAAAGTATTTCTGGTCTAGGGTTGTTAGTGGTGTATCTCAAGGTTCAGGGTTGGGACCCTTACCTTTTAATCTATTTATAAATGATATGGGGTCTGGGATTAAAAGCACTATTTCAATGTTTGCAGATGACTCCAAGCTATGCAGTGGAATAACGTCCTTACAGGATGTCTCCAATTTACAAGCCAACATCAATGCACTGTTTAATTAGGCAACTGTGTAGAAAATAAGGTTTAATGTTGATAATTATAAAGTTATGCACTTGGGGGATAAAAACATGCATGCATCATACATACTAGGGGGAGTACAACTGGGGGAATCAATGGTGGAGAAGGATCTGGGAGTTCTGGTAGATCATAAGCTTAATAATGGCATGCAATGCCAAGCTGCTGTTACCAAAGCAAGCAAAATCCTTTCTTCTATTGAGAGGTAGAGACTGCAAAGAGAGATATCATATTACCCCTGTACAAAACATTAGTAAGACATCATCTGGAATATGCAATTCAGTTTTGGGCACCAATTCAAAAAAAGGATATCGGAACTGGAGAAAGTGCAGAGAAGGACAACCAAACTGATAAGAGGCATGGAGGATCTCAGCTATGAGAAAAAGATAAGAGGAACTGAATTTATTCTCTCTTTAGAAGAGGAGATTAAGGGGGATATGATCAACATGTGTAAATACATAGGTGGTCCATATAATGAACTCGGTGTAGACTTATTCACTTTCAGGAGAAAGTTCATAGGGCACATCTGTCATGGAGACAATCAATTGGTAGATAACAGCTGATATGTAAGATGACTGGAAACATGCACTAGGCAGCACTTCAGAGTATGAAGCGGACTCTGAGGTGAGGAGAGAAGAGAACAAGAAGGTGCTTCTAAGTGCAGTAAATCTAGAACTCTTCATAAAGGAAGGTTAAAAACACTTACAAGAGTGATAAAAATTACAGGCTCAGCAGATGCACGTCTCTGAGGGGTTCTTATCACTGTGTGTCAGCCCGCTGTGCCAGCCAGAAGCTGCAGGGATATATATATATATATATATATATATATATATTATGTTTTAAAATTACAAATGTATGTATATCAAGAGTTCCTGATTCCGATCAACATAATCAGAAAAGAAATAATCACAATAATAAATAAAATCAATAGTAATGATGATAATGGCAAATAATGATTACAGTTACTGTCACCGCTATTATAATTACTATTGACTAGTTCATTTTAGGTTTTTTTTTTTTTTTTTGCTCAGGCACCCAGTCATTATTGTATTTTGATGCAGGTGCTAAGATGGAGTTACACAATCCTGACCTCTCCTATGCTGTCTTGTATACTGCAAGGATTTACTTCCTAAATTGGAATATACTGTACTCTTTAATTGCACTCCTTATTTTAAAAATGTTGGGAGTAGATTTGCTTGATATGTGGCACTTTGGTGGTGACCAGATGGCAATCCCTTCCATCGTCTGGACAACTCAGTTTTCTAAGATGTCCAGAATGTTGGGTTATTATTACAGCCCTGAGTTGTACTGTTCAGTTTCTATGTTGTTCTACTTGTTGTACTGTATTTATTTTGAGATTGCTTGTTTTTTCTGTCTTTGTTGCATTACAGTGGTACAAGGGTTCATTTTGCTACCCCAGGTATATTGCTTTCTATATAATTACAATTGCTATGAAAAGAGTTAATTCACATAGTGATTGATATAATAAAGACAAATTGGCTGTTCACTTTGGAAGAGAAGTTGCACCAGGGGCGGACTGACCATTTGGAAACTCGGGCACTTCCCGAGGGCCCGGGGTCAGTAGGGGGCCCCATGAGATGCCCCTGGTACCTTTTTCATAAGCTTTTTTGAGTTTGGGTAAGGACACAGGGGCCCCATGATCCCCTATTGCCCAGGGGCCCCATGAGTTGTCCGTCCACCCCTGAGTTGGACTTTGCAATAATTTTGCACCAGAGCTTAGTAAATGAGTGAATTGTTGCTGAATTCCATCATACAATTATGTGCAAGCAAAATTCTGTGTAGGGATTTGCTGCTCTCTACTGTCTGTAATTGTAAGCATCAATGCTTCATTACTGTCATAGAGTTACTTATGTACGTCACTTCCTGTCCCTGCTAGCTCAGTCAGAAACCAGAAGTTGGAGTTTGGACTTTTACAGTATATCTTTATAAATGGGAGTTTCTAGGAAGTAAATAGAATCAATATGCTGACTCTGAGTTCCAGTGCCACACCAGAGTTCTTGCAGATGAGACATCCCATTCCAGGCTGGTCAGAAAACTGTTGCAGAATACCCGCCATGACCACTGAACTTCTGATCTTCAACACAAAGACAGATGTCACATCATCCTCAGGGGCCCCTGCAACTGGAACTTGCTGCAACATCTGGTGGTATCTCAATTAATAATTATTGTATATATACCTGGGTATATGTGCACAATTCCACCAGGACTCTTTTCGGGATCTTTGTTCATAATATCTATTTGAACATTGGATGTATGTACTGTTATTAATCTCTTCTTATATAA